GTGTGATGCTTTCTTCGTGACACGCAAAAGGCAACTTCGGGTTGAAATTCCCTCCTTTTCACTTCTCTTGCGCCGTCCCGAGAGGGTGGAGAATCAAAGGAGAAGGAAGAACGCAGCACCAGCACCGGCAGCAACAAAAAGTAAATGCCCTCAATTCTACCCCCCTCCTCCAACACACACACACACACACACACACACAGAGAGAGAGAGGGGGAAAGTGAGAGGATGAGAGAGAGAGGTATAGATAGATAGAGATGGGCAAATAAAATTAAAGAGGCCACATCGCATGCAAACGCCTATCGATAAAAAAGCTGATGCATAGGCATGAAACGGGAGGTCCATCAGGCGCATGAAAAAAAAACCCTCACAACAAAAATAGGCGTACAAACAGAGAGTGAAAGGGATGCATGCACGCACACATGCCTACTAAAAATCAATGTACAGAAAGTGTGAAAAAGAGAGGAAACAGTCAACACAAAAAAATAAAAATAAAAAATAAAAATAAAAACGTACAGCTCAGCATCCATGTGATATGACCTGTGAGGTTGGTTAGTCATGCATGCATCGCAGTTCATCAAAATATTCATACAAATAACAGAGTAAACAACGCGAATATTCACCTGAATGAGGCCCAGCTCCCCTCCTATTCCTACAAAGAGACAAAACACAAAGAAGACCACAAGTTGGTTCAATGCACCCGACATCCCCCACAACTCGGAGGGGATTCAGACAACACTCAATACGCCCATCAACAAACAGATGCAAAACACACCTGCCGCGATAACCGGGCATGCCGCAATATCACAAATTGGCATCCTTTCGCGCCCCACAACCGCCGGACTCCCCTGTGCAGAGGGCAATTGCAGTATTATTATTATTATTATTATTATTATTATTGTTGGTAATGGGATGGACAAAGAACTCACACCCTGCTACCTTCCAACGTGCGGTATCGTCGGAAGCAAGTCAAGTTCCCAGTAAAGAAACAGCGGGGACCAAGAATGCAATATATCATCTTTCTTAGCCCATCCGACCGCCCGTTCTTTCACGTCTCTCTCTCTCTATGTATATAAATAAATATATTATATATATAAATAATACAAGAAGACGCGGATCATGCGGCCAAAATAGCGCCCTTGGCGATACTAAAGCACATATCACGCAGGTCGCCCTCAAGGACATCTGCGACAATCTCCTGTACGCTAAGGATGAACGGTCGGAGTTCTTGCGTCACGCGGTTCTCAAGCGGAGCAATCATCGTTGACTTCAGTTTCTTCAGTGACGGCTGCACGTGTTCATCCCGGAAAAAATGTACCACTGTCTCGTACAGCAGCAGAGTGAGGGCCTCCTGCGCCATCGTACGACTGTCCGCCTCCAAAAAGCCACGAACTTCACGCAGCACGTCATCCCACGGCCGCCGAATTTTGTCACGCTCAAAGAGTGTCTCAAACGTAAAGACACCGTTTGCGATGATGCGGCGTGCTGGCATGACTACACTCTCCTGAATCACACGCCACTCAAACACCCGGTCATTGAACTCGTCCTTCATGGAGGCGATTGGTTTTTGCAGCTGCCAGAGAACTCGTTCCGCTTCGTAACACTCACCAATGCAGTTGTACTGTGAGGCAAGAAACATGTGGTCGCTGCTTGGCTCGTAGCGTACTTTGCCTTGGGAGACACACGCCTCGTATATCCTCGGCAACGCTGCATAGACCGCGCACAGTTTTGGCGCAACGTTGGCTGCAAGTTTCTTCAACGGTGCCTCCACCCGCGTTGCTAAAAAGGATTTGGTCTCACCACTCATGTAATTGTGCACCTCCTCACGAAGAGGTTCCTCAAAAGCGTTTAATTTGTTCATATTGTCCCGCACCTTCGCCTCCAACATCGCACGACGGCCGCACGTTTTCCCCTGTGTTGCATGCCATTTTCCCCATACAAAATTTTTCAATAATTCATCGGACTTTGCTATAAACGAACGCAGTTGCGACATGCGATCCCTCCAGGAACGACCTGACATTCCCAACAAAAGCTTTGGAACAATTTGAGCATCCACAAGTTCCGTAATGGCATCCTGCAGGATCGTCGTCTCCCCCCCACTGAACTCAAGCGAGTCTGGGAGTCCGCACATGACACGGGCGCGGCGAAGTGCCTCGACAAATGCCCGTTGATGAACTCTGTCGTTCGTTGTGACTCGATCCATCAGCCAATGGGCCCTTTTAAAGATGCCACACCATAAATCGTAGCGGTCCTTCTTGGGGAACTGAAGATAAACGGGGCAACGCCGTGGGTGATACAACTCCACTGTCATTTCGGGGTACTTTTCGGGTGCCGACACTTCTGTGCGGGCAACGGAGCAAATTGCGGCCAGTCGATCCAATCGCTCTTCTGTCGCGCGTGTGGCATCGCAGTTCACCACAACATTGCCCAAATTAATACTTCCCAACGGTTGTTTTTTCCCCGCATAATCCTCACGGGACGCGTAGTAGTCAAGAATAAAGTCCCCACGAAGACTCAAGAAACGGGGTTTCCAGCGCTTCAAGTGCTTACTGAGCTTCGCTGCCATGACTTGCTCACGTTCGTTAATCTGCGTAGGGATATAAGGGGCGCGGTAAAGTTTCCACATGACTGTATCCTCATTTTTTTTCTCGGCCTCGTGCTGCATTGCCTTCCGTACGCGTTGAATCATAAACCGCATGTAGAGCTTCTCATATTCGCGTCCAAAGGCATCAAGAAAGACGCTGGCGAGCTCCCGCGTGTCGCTCATCTCTCCACTGAAGGCGGAGCCCATTGCAACCAACAGCCGCAGCCACAAGAAGAGACCCTCCAGCCGTCAACGATAAATATTATACTTCCCTCTTCCTACTTTCCTTATTTTGTCCTCGTTTTTTTTTTTTTGTGGTGTCGTCGCCCTCACACACACGCACACGCACACTCCTTCTCTCCCGGTGCTGCCTGAGGTGCGCCAACCCACCCAAACTGCTCATGGCGAATACGATGCAAACAAACAAAACATTATAAAATGGGAGAAGTAAACAAACAACAACAACAACAGAAAAGATTGCGGAAAGATAAAACACAACAGAGACGGCTCGGAAAAAAGTCAAATGCAAATATGCCTACGTGCGCATAGAAGTGCACACACACAGACACACAAAACCGAAACCGAAGCACATTCGATAACTCAAGGCACCCCACGCATGGGGGGAAAAACAGCAACAGTAACAACAAGGATGCAAGACTTCATACGCCCAAAGTAAGCAAAAATAAAACTCCTCCTTTCAACCTTCTATTCAATGCGTCTCAATTCCTCTTCTACAAGAAGTTAGATAACCCGTTCTCAGTTTTTTATTAAACGCAGTGTGTGTGTTTTTGCCTTGTGACAGCAGCCACCGAGCTCCCTTTCCAAAGTTGCTGATGAAAGCATGAAAAGCAGAAGTTAATACAATAAGAAATGCGATAATATAAAGGCGATACGCCACATACTTGAAAGGAAATACGTGCATCAACTTTGGTGGCGGGTACAGCATGTAGTTGACATTTAGACCACTAATGTATGAGTACGGTGTGTAGAATCCAATGTTGACCAGAGTCGCTAGCGCCGTTGCGTGCAGCAAGTGTGAACGAGTCATGGGCAATAAATCATAACGCACGGCAAAATAAAATGGTGTGATGAACAGAAGCCCATGATGCACCATAAAAAAATAGCTCTCGAATTTGTACTGATGATCTCCCCAATCGGGTGACGCCAATGCCGCTGTGGGTCCCCAATGGTAATCCGCGGCGAGGGTTGCTAAGTAGACATTCTCGGGGTATTGGCTCGGCCCAGTACGCAGCAGCACGGCAGCCCAGAGCAGTGTGAACAGGTGACAGGGCATCAGCATCCACCCAATTTGAACAAAAGGATGTGGACGAGAGATCTTCAACAGCACTTGACACGCCCAACACAAGAGAAAAAAAACACCCAACAGTTTATTTAATAGGCTCTTGGTAGACTTGCCGCGGGAAATCCTGCGGGTGTAACTCCACGCCCGTGAACGGTAGCCCCAGGAGGCACGGAAGCAACACCAGACAAACACGTGCAGTACAACAAACTCAAAAACATGCACCTTCGGTGGCCGAAACCAAAAGAGTTTCTCCGCGGCATTCGGTCCCCACGCCTGTCCGGTGTGGCGGCAAACAGCCACCAGCCAGTCGGCCACCACTTGCGGTACAAGAGCATCCGCCACGAAGACAAGTGTGAGTGGGGCCATTCGCGGGCAACTCGTCCTAGTGAATAAGAGGACCTACGAAGGGACAATGCGGTAAGACTCATGAAAGCATCACCACGCCAAAAAAAAAAGGAAAAAAAAAAAAAATCGGCTCGTGATTTATGCCACATGCCGGAAATAAAAAAGAAGTCACAAACACAAAAATGGCGTAAACTAATAAATTCCCGACGACCATATTTGTCGCGTTTCTTCATTATTTTTTTTTATTATTTATTTATTTATTTTTTTGTTTCCCCCCTTCCCGGAGGGATGGCGTGACTTTATTGCCATGTTGACTGTCCTCTCAATGGCCTTTCGGGCCCTTGACGTCGTCGCCGTCCGTCCCCTCCTCCTCCAGCGCGGCCAACTCCGCCTCAAGCCGGGCAATTTCATCATCCACAATCATGCCCTCCCTCGACGAGCCCGCTTTCATACTGCCTTCATCATCACTCCACGCAGCAGCACCAGCCGCCGCTTCAAAACAGGTTTTCTCTGCCGTGCCTTCAGCATCACCCTCGGCAACAGCCGCCGACGATGGCGGCGACCGCCCGGCGTTCAGCTTCACATTCTCCTCCAGCGGGTAATACATATTATCCAGGGGTGAGAGTCTGTACCAGCTCTGCTCCCCACGCAAATAACGACGATAATCCTCCTCAATGTGCCAAAATCCCAACGCCTCAGCATTCTCTGTGGCATACAAAGCGCAGTCCTTGCGATCCACGCGCAAACATGCCTCTAAGAAAACAAGAAAGGTGTCCTTTGCAAAACGAATGTTATTCACGTTACGGCACTGGTTCAACAGCTGAAAGGCGTAACTGAGATCAAGAGGGCGTTCCACGAGATCAAGCGCAGTATGCAGATCATCCACTGTCGGGCGTTCGGTTCCCTGAAATGAATGGAATCGTTTATGCCACTCCAGCACGTACTTCTCAAGCGGCGTTTCCGGTCCATCCAGCCGGTCTTTTCGCAAAATGTGGCGCTTCTTGCTGAGCCAAAGTGGCTGATTCGCCATACACTTCGGCCGCGTGTACGGCCTGTCAAGCCCGCCTAGCCACGCCTGGTACAACATCTCGGTGCGTTGGTGATCCGGCTGTTGAATGACGGTGTAAATCTTCCAGTTGTCAACATCCTTCAAAAATAACATCCAATACGGGCGACGATACCGCAGCGATGCCAACGATGGCAGACTACCGTGCAGCATTCTTCCCACGCTGGCACACACACACGCACTTACAAACACGGGGGGGAAACAGGCCACACAACCAAAAGCCTCCTCCTCCCACCCGTTCTGTTTGTCCCCACGTCCCTTTTTCCTTCTCCGCTCCTTTGCTGTGACCCGCTCACAAGGGAAAAAAAAAAAAAAGAGTGACTGCAAAACAACACAACTCATTAGGCACTCCAAACCCCCTCCCCCTCCAAAAAAACAACACAAAGTGCAACTTTCACAAGTCGCTCGAGAGTCCCAAGACCCCATTTTACTCTTCTCTTCTTCCTCATTGTTTACTTGCGTTTGATTTCTCCTTCCTCTCATTGCATATTCCTTTGCTTCTGATGCCACCTCCCCCCCCTTCTCTCTCTCTCTCTCCGCCCACGGGGGCGTTTGTTCTTCTTGTTTTTTTGTGCACTTTTTTTCTTGGAAGTGTCATCCCACAAATAATAATAAAAAAGAAAGAAAGGATAACAGAAAACAACCAAAACCACCACCACCACCACCACAACAACAAAGCAAACTTCAAAAAAACAACAACAACAAAACAGGCCATTGCAACGAATACATACGAAAGGAAAGACAGAGAAACACAAACATTTACGGGTGTAAACACACAACAACTGTTGTTGTTGTTCCTTTTTTTTTTCTTTTTCCTTCTTGTTGTTGTTGTTGTTGTCCCCTTTTGTGTCCATTTAGCAAATTGGCACGGTGACACCTTAGGATGATGTCTCAATGGCCAATAAACGTCTTCGCAGCGTCTCGGACGCCTTCCTAATAGCTTCTTCATATTCCCTGTAAGCGTCTAATTGTTGAAGATACTTTCTACGCATAATTAAATCGGAATCGGTGACTGTTTTCAAAGTTTCGCCTTCTTTTGCACCACCCTCTGTACGACTATCATTACTACCACCAGTGGCCGCAAAAAACAGAGTTTCACGCGTGGCGTGTTCTCCTCGAGCTTCCAAAAGAGAGGAAACAATGCCTATAGAAGCTGCGGGTTCCCGCAGCTGCTCCTCAGTCTGATCTGAGGTTCCTGTCACACGCGATGCCGCATGAATCCTCGCATCGCAGTACCGTGCGTAAGCCCTTCGTATTTCCTCCTCTTCAGTTGGGTTTAGCTGCTCGTAAGCGGAGTTTCTGAGGGTATCTGTCACGGCATTCCCCTCTCGTGTAAAGGAGGGAGGAACAGCGGACGAGGTGGCGGCATTATTATTATTAGTGTTGTTGTTGGTGTTCTCGTTGTTGCCCGCGTTTCGGCGACGATTGTGAAATATAATAAAATGTACAGACCTGTTCGCTTTCCGCATGTGCCGCAAAAGATCGGCCCTGCAGTATGGGCATGTCGACATCCCTTCAAACCACCGTCGTAAGCAGTGCTCATGGTAGCAATGACCACATGGGAGTTGTTTGCAGTTCTGTTCTGCCTTCATTTCGTCTTGGCAAATGGCGCAGCAAGAATCTCGTGCCAAAATATCTTCGGACGCATTTTTCATGCTGTGCACAAACCTCGTCAGGGAGAGATATGTCACCAGGCTCTGGATCTTCTTGACGACATCGACAGCGCTGTTTATGAGAACCCGTAGTAGCGGGAATGGTGCCTGGGACACAATGCAAACATACGTGAATGAGACAATGAAGACAGAACTCTTAAGGAGGGAGAAGAACAGCTCGGCGTAAAAGGCAAGAGGGCCATGATCCGACTCCCCAATCACCTCCGTGAAGAGCAGCCGCACGAGAAAATTGATGTTGGAGATGGCAAACTGCAGGTACATAATGGCAGCGGAGTACTTCAGAGTTAAGTACTCATCTCGCTCCCTGGCGGTGTTCACAAAGACATCAAACACAACGTAAAGATCGAGTGGCATGGCCAAGAGGAAGAAAAGCGTTAGGCCACTCAGCATGCGCAGCCGCTCCGTCGGAGATTCCACGACATGAAGTGTCGTCGTCCGCTCCCGTGCAACGCCGTGCAGAAGGGCCAACACCACCGTAAACAACGCGGCCACACCGAAGGGGCCAAGAACGGACACCCCAAAGTAGAAGGGCCCCACCACACACTCGGCGATGTACAGCGGGACGGAGTTGCGCAACAACTCGGTTTCGGTGTGGTTCAACTTACCAAAGAACACGCGACACGCGACAAGCCAAAACAAGAAGGTGGTCGCAATAAAAACATTGACGCACAGCAGGCGGAACAGGGACGAGTTCGTCAGCTCCACGACTGTCGTGAAGTACTCACGGTAGGCATTGGCGTAGTCCAGGACAAA